TTAACTTACACAAAATAAACATAATATGCACAATTTTATTAAAGAAAAAGAAAAATTGTACTTATCAAAGATCAAGTTTGAAGGAAGGGATACCCATCGCTATTTTTTTTTTTTTTTGATCAAATGCCAATTTCTACAGAGAAATTAAAAAAAAAAATTGCTGATTGGAAGTCGAAGCCAAAGAGAATAGTTTTTCTGTATGTTATTCCATTAACATTTAAATAAAATCTTGTCCAATTTTTTTATTTTATCTTTAATGTGATAATAACTCTTCTACCATAAACCTTATTTAGTTTTTGTTTTTCTTGAACTTCATGCAGATTAACTTTTGCTAATTAAGTGGGTTTTGTTCTACATTAGAACTATAAAGAAAGCAATTTAATTTAATTTAATTTAAATTCTATTAATTAAATACATTAATTCAAAATTAAAAACTATAATGAAAAAAATAATGATAATTAATTAATTAATTAAAAATCCTTAATGAGATATACATATCTATCAAAAACCAAACTCACATTCATACCCGTAATCTAAATATAATAATGTGAAAGCAAGTCAAAATTTCAACAACCTAAGCACTGTTAAAGCACTAACATTAAAAACGATAAATTATACATTGAATCCCTACAGTTTTCATGTTTTTTATTTGATCACTTAGTTACATGATTTTTAATGTCAAAAAGTAAAAAAAAAAATCATAAAAAAATAATTTTAAAATATAAAAACTAAGAGTTTTAAATGTTAAAAAAAAAGGACATAATTTTGGAACATTCCAAAAAATAAAGATGGGTAAAAAAAAAATAGGACGGAGGCAATTTTTTGTTTAATTTTTAACGAAAGGATTAATGAAAGGTAAAATTTTATTAGAGGTTATAAGTATTGATACATGAAACTTTTGAAGATCATGAATAAAAATGAAATATTAATAAAAGTAATGATCATGGATGACAAATGCAATTTTTAAAGATTATTGATGAAAATGAGATATTAATAAAAGTAGCAGATGATAAATATAACTTTTAAAAATTTTAAATAAAATTAATACATGGATAAAAGGTCGTATGTCATCGATGAATTTTACTCATTATTTATAAAAGAAAATAATTAACTTACATAACAAACTCAATATAATATATTCAATTACATTAAACAAAAGCAAAACGTTAACTATTGAGGATCGAGTGCGAATAAAGTAATAGGCATCACTGATTTCTTTGATCAAATGCCAGTTTCTACTAACTATTGGAGAAAATTAATTAATCAAACTTGCATTCATACACTGAATCTAAAACTAATAATGAGAAAGCAAACAAAAACTCCAACAACCTACTATTAAAGCACTAACATTAAAAACAATCCCAAAAAAAGTCTTCTGAAAGGTCGTTACATGAAGTTTTTAAGAATCGTTATGAAAATAAAATATTAATAAAAGTTTGTGTACGATAAATAATTTCTAGAAAATAAATTTTTATGTTATTCCATTAACTTTTTAAAAAAGTTTTATCCATTTTTTTATCTTCAAATTAATAATAGCTATCCTACTATAAATCTTATTTATGGAATTAGTTTTTTGTTAAACCTCAATAGATTACATTTACTAATTAAGCGGTTTTTATTCTATATTAGAACTCTATCAATTAATTAAAATCAAAATTAAAAAGTATACTGGAAAAATAATGAAAATTACTTAATTAAACAAAAAATCCAAAATCAAATTACTTAACGATATGAAAACTTAACTCTCACATTCATACACAATCTATGGAAAGTATATCATTTATAATTCTTTTTACTATAATATTATAATTGTCCAATAAAATTAAAAAATTAGTTTATCACTTATATGTGTGGTTTCCATATAAACTTTTTATAGACCCAACAATTTTGAATTATAATTGGTTTATCACTTATAAGTGTGCAAATTCACTCATTTTCCTTTCATCTTCTTATTTCCTTCATACGAAACGAAAGAAATGATGAAAAGAAATAGTTTTTCTTTATTTCTTCTTTCCTTCTACCAAACACAGTTTTAACACCATACATATAAATCCAATCCCTTTAAATGCAGATGAGAATTGGGGGGAGTTTGGTCTTGGGTTGCAATTTGAAAGGTTGGATGCATTATTTAGAGGTTGACCATTAAAAGCAAGTCCACATTTTATGGGATTGCATTTAAATGCATGGTGTTAAAACTATGTTTGGTAGGAGAAAAGAGGGAAAAAAAAAAAAGAAAATTTATTTCCTTTCATCATTTCTTTCGTTTCATATGAAAAAAATGAGTGAATTTATACATTTTCCCTCCCTCAAAATTGGAAGTGTATCATTTATAATTATTGTAATATAATTAATTAATTACAATTAATAATTATATATGTGAGATTGATCAAAATTTTATATGAAATCCATACTTATAAAGAACATATCACCTACAATAATTGTACCACAATTAAACAATCAAATTTAGAGTTATGTAGATTCTACAAAAATATTATGTGGAGTCCACTCTTATAAGTGATAAATCCTCACAAGATTCTTAATTATGATTAAACAATAGTAGTATTATAATAAAAAAATTATAGTTAAAATCCTCCCATACTTATAAACAATGATAACTAATCTTAATGACAGTACAAGATAACCAACATAATCATAAAGATATATATATATTTATATTTATATATATATGTATTGTAGACACTATTTTATTTATTATTATTTTTATTTCTTTTTTTCTTTTTTTCTTTTCTTTTTATTTTTTTGGTAGCTTTTCTGCTAGTCGTCGGCAATCGCACTATCAATGGCTCTAACAGTCGACTACAATTGCACTGACAGCAGCTCTAATAGCCACCGATAGCGATTATAATAGTCGGTGGCTGCCCTGATCCTAGGCCACCAAAATCTCAAATTTTCTAAGATTTTGGTCTTCTTTTTTGCTCTATAAATAGTGCAATGAAGCCGGTAACAAAAAAAAATAAAGAGAAAAGAATGCTTGCAAAAAAAAAAAGATCCAAAAAATTACTACCATATTCCAAAAGAAAAAAAAAGCTTTTTGTAAAAAAAAAAGAAAAGGAAGGAATCAAACACCAAAAAAGAAAAATACACAATCCCCATAATGGGATCTTAGTGCAAAAAAAAATAAAAAAAATCCTTTTGGCCGAATCTTCCAGGC